TTTTTTTTTTTTTTTTTTTTTTTTTTTTTGTCTTTTTCCATGTCCGGCAACGGATTGCAACCCTCAGTGTCGCCCCCGTACCGGACCGGGACCGGCAACGGGATCGCAACCCTTGGTGTTGCCCCGCGCCTCGCTCAGCCAGTGAGCGGGAACCGGTCTGTATGTGGGATCCGAACCCTCGGCGGGAGCGCCTCCGCGCTTCCCAAGCGGCGCACTAGCGCAGTGCGCCACCGGGCCGGCCCCAAGAACTTTGATGTATAAATAAATATAGCAGCCAAACATACATCTCTTCATCAATAACTAGATAGTTTATGTTTGCAGGAAAAACACCAAAATAACAAGGCAAACTTCTCAATTTCTACTCTGTGTAACCCTAGATGACATTTTAGAAAAACCCAAATTAAAATAAAAGGAAAAGCTAAATCTTATATTTTCATTAAATAGCTAACATTTTCATGGCTGTAGGTCTGTAGTCTACGTGATATTACAAGTATTTAAAATATTGTTATTCAGACTCAGAGTTTAAACCACATCAAACATTTTCACACCAATAGGAAGTATTAGTATATTTCAGAAAAAGATGAATATATAAGTAGCAAGTATAAAGTTACATGCTTTGAAATAAGGTAAATAATTAAGAATGAATTTACCACCTTATGACAATAAATCACTTATTCTAAAGATATTTCAGTCCTTAAGTATTTTCAAGATAGTCTTTATCACTTTTCTAGTGGACCACAAGAGTACTTTAATCTGAACATTTTCAAATTTCCACAAGCAAAGATGAAAAACAAATCCACTCCCTCAAAGATAAATACCTGCTTTGGTTTTGTTGGGGTCTTTAAATCTAAAGAGGAAAAAGTGAAAAAAAGAACTATAAGAACCATAATGACTCATATCCCATTTAGGTGGGGGAATACACACACACACACACACACACACACACACACACACACACACACACACACACCCCTACACCCACCATACACAATCCTTGACACTTCATTCTTCTTCAACAATATGTTTAAAAGAATACTAAAATATATAATGCACAAATTCTTTTATCCTTTGGGGAAAATGGAGTAGATATATTTAAAACAACATTGGCTATTTTCTTTCACATACCAGCATCCTGAGAGATTTTTGATAATAGAAGGCTTTGAATTCCTGCATTTTCTGAGAGTTTGGAATAATGTAAGGCATTGTTTCCAAGAGAATCTACAAGATTTAGGTCTGCACCCTTTTTAATTAAGGCTTCCACAATGTTAGAGCTGCCAATCTCACAGGCCAGCATGAGAGCAGTTCTAAAGAAAAAATGAGACACAAAATTAGTACTAACAAAATGTGAAAATTCTTTCCTAGGCAATATTTTGTCTTGAAAACAGGAAAAAGAAGATTAACTCCAGTTAAACCTTTACTGCACTTAATCTTCTGGGGAATTTGAAGTGGAATGCTATCAAGATGAAATAAGGTGGTGTATTTTTTAAACCAGATTAAATCGAAACATTAAACCATATTTAGTCAAAAAACATAGACATAACCTTCTACACTATTTGGCATAATAGATGGAAGTTAATATGATCGGCACAAATCTTGTCCTTCTTTCACCTAAAGCATTTTACAGAACCTATACATTGCTAAGATTATTTTTAAAACGCAACCAATATGTTTACTTTTATTTTACATGAAAAGTCACAGGAAATGACTTATTCACTTTAGTATTTAATAGTCTCATCACAGACTCAGTCATCAATGGTGGCCATGGAGATCTGGAAAAAAATGCTTTTAAGTCAAAACAGATTCTTGATTATCAAAAAAGGTACAAAATTAAAAAGGAAAAAAGTTAAAACCACTTTATAACAAATCATCCAAAACACAGCTTGATATTTTGAAAGACTCTCAGAATGTGGATATCACTGAAGTCACGTGACTTCTGCCTTATTCTGTAGTACCTTCCATTTTTGTCCCTGGAATTCACATCTGCTCCATGATCCAGGAGAAAGCGACAGACCTCACTGTGGCCATTTTGTACTGCAAGAATTAACGGTATATTCCCATCCTAGGAAACAAACTCAGATTTAGATTTCAACTCAGACTCCAAATGCCAGAATTGCAAAGGCCATTATTCTTTCCACATTTTTACTGACTTGTTCTTCTGGTCTAATATCTGATTCATCGTGATATTCCGTGCCTCTATAGGGTCACCATTACATCTTGGTATAACTCTTCTGATGGAATTTCACTGACTGTTAGATTTTCCCTAGGAGCCTCAGCCTCTTGGGCTGCCTGTTCCCTCAGCCATCACTCGGTCTGTGTGATGATGTGAAAGAGGGCAGAATACAAAGTGCATAAAGGCTCCAGCAACTGTGCCATGTGTGTTGAAGATAGTTCTGGAGAGATGAAGGACTTATCTCCACAAGGCATCAGAAAGACCCACCACCCTCTAAACTAAGCTTCTTCCCAGTGCACTAAGTACATCGTGCCGTTCCACTCTTCTCTTCCCAGAAGGGAAAGCACACCCTTTCATAATCTTACTAGGTATCAAAATGTAACATAAATTAAGAGTCTATTTTTCTATTACTAACACATGACTAAAGAGATGGATAAAATAATTATTTACTTAATATGTCATGACAATTGGTAATCCCTTGGGGAAAAAAGAAAATTAGTTCCCTAACTCATACACAAAGTATGTCAGGTGGAGTAAGAATTTAAACATTACCATATAAAACAAATGAGAAAAATACTAGAAGAATAAACAGGTGGATATTTCTGTAATCTTAGGGGGGGGGGGGGCCTGACACAAATCATAAAGAGAAGCTGTTATTCTGCTTTTTTTCTGGAACATACCCAACCAATTGGTCAACAGTAAATTTTAGGACAGAAGCATTCAAATAGGCAAAGGGAAAAGATAAGTTACAATATATGCAACTATTTAAAAATGAGGATCTTAAATACAACCGTTGCTTAAGGATTAAGTCTCATAGATAGAGTAGTATTTTGGACAGACTTCTAGGCACTATCTCTGAAGTTATATACTTTCTGGTTACGAAATACTGAGAGATTCAGGGAATGTGAATTTATTTGCAGGTTCTATCTAGTAACTTCACAATATCTCCAGCTATAAGTATATGCATGTCAATTCTCATGCTACAGTGTGAAATAACTCTGTAACCATATGGAGTAGATATATAAATTTATTCTCAAAATAGCCCAGTGAGGTTAAAATAGGCCACAAGTGGTCTTCAAAGTTGGGAAATTCTAACCAGAAGGTATCCATGGGATGCAGAAAGAAACACATGTACATCCTTAGAAACAAATACACATATATAGGAAGTGTATGCTGCAAAATATTTTATTAATGGTTTAGGGACCAACGAGGGATAATAAATATATAAATCCATTTTGCAGAAGATCTAGGTTGAAAAGCAACTAAATTTTGCCAAATACTTAGGTTGCCAAAGTTTCAATATTTCTCAGAAGTATCCCACTGTGCTTTGGAAACCAGTGTTCATCTGCACCTCCAGTGACCACCTGGTACTTACCACATCCTTGAGGTTTATGGGGCTCCTGTGCTCACAGAGAACCTGCACAGCTTGAAGGCAGCCTTGTGCCGCTGAGGGAAAGAAAAGACAATGCCACAGTAATCACAAAGCCACTTTCACAACTAGGGGTGCAAAGACATTACCTGAAATCTCCAAGTGCTTAGGAATACCTCTTAGTTCAAAAAGGAAACTTACATCAGTTAAAATACATTTACCATAATAATTTTCACTGGTTGTGTGACAGGCAATTGACGAATTCTAGGTGTACTCCTTGGTGAAACTCTATATGTTTACAAACTCAGTTTACAAACTGAGTAAAATGAGAATGTCTAAGAATGATGACAGAAAACAGCACCAGGAATAATACAGTGAGGTTAATGGCTAAAGTAAGAAAAATGAAAAGTTGGTGTTTTCTATGACAGAAGATAAATAAGGGAGTGAAAGTTACCTGCATAATGTAAAGCTGTTTTCCCAGAGCTGTCAACACTTTCGGCTGGACATTTAGACTATAAGACAAAAGTAAATAAATGCATATAATATCCTGCACAAATTCTATTCAGTTCATCTTTTCCCTGCAAGGCACGATACAACTTATTAGGAAGTGTGTAAGCATACATAAGCCCCTCCTGCTGTGCTCCAGGGGCCCAATCTCTTCCGGGGAGGAAGACTCATCTCCAGATAATCATGTCACAGGCAAACTATTACCCCTCTGGTGTTCTGGCTGTCCCCGTCTCACTCATATGTCATCAGTCTATCACCATGGGACCATCCTGACCAGCTAACAAACATGCTCTAGGATCTCTCATCTTGATCCTACCTTTCTCCCACTTCTTGCCCTAATTCTCTGTCCTGCTTCACAAAGCCAGCTTTCTTTTAAAAATTACCCACAAACAATCCATGCTTCCTCACCTCCCATTCACTCCTGAACTGACTGCAGGCTTGTTTTCGGCCTTCAAAATTCCAGAGATGGCCCTAATCAAGGTCACCAACATCTTTCATGTTTCCAGTAACAATGGACATCTCTGTCCTCCTCTCACCAGCCTCTCAGTTGCAATCCACTCCCTCTTCTCCAAACATTTCTCCTCTCAGCTCCTAGACTCCCTGCCTGGTCCATCCTATTCTGTTTTTTCTCCCACTGCTCTGGCCACCCCCTCCTCCTTGAGCCAAACATAAAACGTCAGGTTCCTCAGTGATCTTTCTCTAAATTCTCTTCCTTGGTAATCTCATCCACACCCATAGCTTGAAATACCATCTAGAAGTCTAGAAGCTAGAGACTCCCTGACGTACCTCTTAACAATAACAACAAAAAGTATAATGTAAGTATTAGATATCATTTGCCAGGCACTGTTCAAAGAATTTCTTCTTTTTTTAAAAGATGACCGGTAAGGGGATCTTAACCCTTGACTTGGTGTTGTCAGCACCACTCTCTCCCAAGTGAGCTAACTGGCCATCCCTATATAGGATCCGAACCCGTGGCCTTGGTGTTATCAGCACCACACTCTCTCGAGTAAGCCATGGGCTGGCCCTTAAAGAATTTCTTTAAGGCTCCTAACAACCCTTGTCAGATGCTATTAATACCCTAATTTTCGGATGAGGACACTTAGACACAAAGAAGTTAATATTTTGCCCAAATCACAGTTAATGGCAGAGTCAGGATTTCAACCCAGATAGGCCAGGCTAGAGACCACATTCTTATCCACACATGACAGATGTCATCTCTGAGCACCAGGCTTGATAACCCATTGCCTACTTCACATCTCTGCTTTGATGTCTTATAAGCACCTCAAACATAGCATAGCCAAAACTTCTGGCTTCCCCTCTCCCAAGCCCAGCCTGTTCCTCCCGGACTCTGTACTGTCTCTGTCAACAGCACTATCATCAACCTAGTCAACGAGCCAGAAACTACTGAGTTGTCTTTGATTTCTTCTTCTCTTCCCACATCTACTCTACCACTGTGTCCTATCAATTTTCTCTTTCTTGTTACCACTTCCCTAGTCTAAGCCAGCATCTTCTCACCTTGACAGCTAAGACAGCCTCCTGATAGGTCTCCCCAGTTCTGCATTTTCCCTTTTAATCAATTCTGTACACGACTAGAATGATCTTTTAAAACTGCAAATATCACCATATACTTAAAAGCCCATCACTGTCCCACGCTGTAATTAGGATTAATTACAGTCTGCCTACCAAGATTACAAGGCTCTGTGTTGTGTGCCACTTTTCCTCCTCCCTTGCTTTGCTCTAGGCCTAGGCACCTGCTTTCTTTCCTCCCCAACCAGCCCCTTTCCTACCTCATGCCCTTTGCACTTGCTGTTGTATCTGCTTGGAATACTGTCTCCTTGGCTCTTTGCATTGTTGGGGGTCTCAGCTTAAATATCACCTCCTCCATGAGGTCTTCCCTGCACCTCCACCTCTCACTCCTCTCTCACAGTAGCCTGTGAGTTCCCTTCTTAATGCTGTGCAATTTGCAACATGTATTTGTGTACTTGTTTCCCAGACTGCAAGCTCTACCAGGGTAGGGGCTGCTCTGTTCACAGTATATAATCAATGCTTGACACAATGCACAGTGCCTGGGGAACACTTGACATAAGAAGGGGTAAGAGGGATAACTGGAGATAGGGGAGGAAGAGAGTTCATGTGAATCTGAAGAACCTCACAAGGCTTTATTTGTGGTCATTACCTTCAGGAGGTAGAACTTTAAGATGACAGCAACTGCAGAGAGGAAATATCTCCAACAGGCTGATGGTAGGAACAAGGGCCTAGAGGGCCCAGAGAGATCAGTAAGTGCAGACGGTGTAGAGATGAGGGTAGCAGAAGATAATGAGGGTCACATCACAGACAGCCTGGGCTGTTAAAACACGAGGTGAAGACTAGAGAAGCAAAGCAACCCATCAGGACATCAAAGGCTGAGGTTTTAACAACTCTCCACAAAGAACAGTGGTCAGACAGTGTGCAAGTTAGAGGAGGTAAGAACAGGCCACCTGAGAGGGAAATGCCTGCCCTTCAGTGGGGGGAAGAATGGAGATCAAGTTACGACTTACCACACTTTGGCCTAATTTTAGAACAGCACAAGGAACTGTTTAAAGGCTTCAAAGATTCCAAGGAAAAACCAATCCATTTGCATAACCAGATATAAAATTACATTAGAGGCTAGAATATCTGGTCCTTGCCCATGAGGATTTCTAGCTTGTCAGGTTAATTGTTCCTTAAAATGAGAGCCAGATGCAAAGTCTGGATAGCCAAGCCAGAATAGGAATGGAGATTTAAGACACAAATAATTTTTCTTTAAAAATTGAGGTAGGGCCAAGGGTGTGGAGGCAGGGTACTTGGGCAAGCCAGTGATTTCCATTTACCCAGAGTGCATGGTCCCAGAGGAGGCAGCTAAGAAAAGTTCTTAATATTATCTTCAGGGGGAAGCCTCAAAATGCAACATCACAGACACTGATGTATTCTTCTTGAATTCTGCTTCAAAGACCTGTTAAGGTTAGGCATTCCTGGAATTGGCAGTAGATTGCATCATGTAATACAAGACAAGAAGCTGTGTGATCAACATAGCAGGACAAGTTGAAGAATGTGACCACATCACTGCATCAGAATCTCAAAGCCAAATTAAAGCAATCTGCTGGGTCCTAAACAGGGCTCATGAAAGCCGAGACAACAGCTCGACAGAACAGACAGAGCTCCAAACACGTATTTTATTGCTCTATGCTGTTCCTGAAAACAGCCAGCTTGCAGTTTGACTGGCAACAGCTGGATATTACCATATGTACTGCTATTGGGAGTTCACTACATATTCACCTCTAAAGATTTATGGAAGTCGTCATGTTGAGTTATCACTATAAACTTCCCTGCTAGGATATCAAACCAGCGAGCTTGCTTTAAATTATAAAGAATAAAACCAAGAACTTAAACAAAAACCAAGAACTAAAAGCTCATCATCAAATTACAAACAAGGAAATAATGGTTGAAATTTTGCTTCTCAAGCAGAGCTGCATTTTACTAATGATTTAAAGAGAGAATATGAGGATATTGGAGATCCTGTACCGTAAAGATCTCCAAAAGCTCGGGAAAAGACGTTTTGAAGACTGACTATTTAGAGGGTTCAAGTCCTTCAGAAAATAAAAGGAGGCACTAAATAAAGTAGTGAAAAGGGCTGGATCCCAGGAAAACACTCCAAATTTTGATTAGGATCTTCTTTGCCCATAAAGTTGCTATGGAAACAATCTTCTCCTTAGCTATCATTGCAATAATGAAGCTTCTTAGAAAATGCAGATTCTGGAATAGTATTTAAAGGACTGTGTGTGTGTGGCAGGGGGGTGGGGGTGGCTGTATTTGTTCTTTCACAGATAAGGTTACTTTTAAATTTTAAAAATGACACATTTATACTTTTAAGCTGTCACCGCATTACCTGCAGGAGCTTCTTGATGCACTCATGGTGGCTGTTCTTGGCTGCGAGGTGTAAAGCACTGTGTCCTAAATGGATTAAAGAGAAAATTGGGGAAAAAGGCCACACTTTTTAAAAATCCCTTTCTTATCTCTGTACTGAAGGCAACTATGAGGAAATAAATTGTTCTCCAACAAAGACGGACTTGTTGCTCCCGAGAGTGAGCCTCACATTCTTCAGTGTGACCCAAGTGTGGAGAACCCCAGCATCCCACGCTCGGGGAGACATTCACAAACTCCAACCACCACTCTCTCGGGGTACGATTAAGCTCGGGCTGAAAGTTTGCAGTGGACTCAGACATGCAGCTTAGAAGTTCTGCTTTCAACTGTCAGTATGTATGCCAAACGTCCTGTGTCCACAATGGTCACACCAGGCCACGAGTACTCCAGGCCTAGGAACCCAGTAAAGGCAGCCTGAGAGCCAGCAGATAACATATCAAAGACCCTCCCACTGAAACTCCTACTTTTGACATCTCATGTCCCTCTTGTCCAAATGCACTCCAGTCCTCAATTACTTAGGGTTTTCAGATTTTCAAAGTCCTTATGTAGAAGAAGGGAAAGAGCTGTAAAATAACAACTCACTATTAAAGTAGCATTTTTCTAAGTGCCCTTCATGACTCCAACATGAGACTGATGTCTTTGTGACCAGATAGCTTCAGGAAATCTTAATGCTCTACCCAACTCCCTCACCACCAATAGGCCTACAGAATTTCTATGGAAGAGGGGTTTCGGGGCAGCGAAAGGGGCAGCAGTTTCCCACCCCAGGGTCTTTGCAATTGCTAGGCTCTTCTCCTGGATTCTCTCCCCCCAGGACACCACCCAGCTTGCTCTACCTCCCACTGACCTGCCACCTTCTGAATGAGGCCTTTTCTGATCTCTCCACTTAAAATTACAGTTCCTCCCCAACCCTTTTTATCCCCACTCCCTGCTTTATTTCTTTATTCTTCATGGCACTTGGCACCTTCCTTCACTCCCTTCCCACCCCCCTCCATCGGACAGGCATTTCTGTCTGTCGCATTCCCTGTGCCCACATCACTTCTGGTGTACCGAAGGATCTCCATACATTCTCATCAATTTGAATTAGAAGGTATGCTAATGTCAACTGTCTGGAATTGGGGGATTGGGGAGAAGGAACCACAGTTACCACTGCCCCCCAACCCAATACACCTAATAAACTCTTAAATTGTGCATTTCTCAAGTGATTTGACCAATATATCCTCAATACAACACCTGTAGACAACCCATAACTCTGGGACATGCTTAAAGCATGGTTTCTCAACCTCAGCACAATTGACATTTCAAGCTGGATAATTGCTGTGGGTGGTTGTCCTCTGCAGTATAAGATGTTAAGCAGCATCTCTAACCTCTATCCACTAGATGTCCATTTGTGATGATCAAAAATGTCACAGGGGCAAAAGCAACCACAGTTGAGAACCCCACACATAGAGGAATAATTTCTTTTATATGATGGCCCAGTCTCACAATACCATTTCCTTTCTGAATTAGTCTTCATTCTGTAACACTGTTCAGAAATCCACTGATTAGAGAGGTATACGACTAGGAAATACCATATTAATTAGAGAGTCATAAGACCACGGTGAGCTGCACGAAAGCATGTGTAAGGTCAAAAGATCAGATTCCTTCTCTTCTGAGACCAACTGTACTGAGAGATGTTAAGGGTATGTGTGAGTGGAAGTTGTTTAGTCAGGATGGGATACCGAGAGACAGGAATCCATCCACCCTCTCCCAAAAGGATAAGGATGAGAAAGATTAAGATATGAGGGAAAAGAGACCCTTGGAAGTAGGAAGACAACGATCTTCTCTTCCTTGTCCTCCTTTTACTCTATGAGATCCCCTTCTTCCACGACAGCATAATTGAATGAGTTAATTTCCTTATGGATTAAACAGGCTTTGGTGGGCTAGCTTGGTCCCCCAACCATCATTTATACCACTGTTTCTAAGGACAAGCACATTCTGACTTTTAAACAAATGCCTTACAAATTAACTTTTGGAACACATCCTGATTGTAAATTGGAGACTGTTTATGTCATGTATGCAATGTATTAACTTTTGTCTATGCCACGGGCGAAAGCTGTTTTGCGTAAACAGAACGGCTCTCCAAAGGCAAGATCGTAGGGAGATTTAAACAACTTATAAAATAAATAACAGCCTTTCATTTCACTTCAAGTGGTACTAGTCAAACCTGGAAGTGAGTCCTCGGATTCTAGAAAAGGAAAAATTCTTTTATTCCGTGGCCCCATGATGTGTTTTCCTAACCAGCAGCACAAAAATATTTTTCCTTTAAAATAGTCTCAAAATCTAAATGACACATCATTCCCTGCACATTATACTGAAGTGAGGTGTCTCTCATTGCTAACGTTAAAACAAAATTCTCCTTACAAATGCAAAATTATTGGGAGAGAATACATTAGTGACAGAATCCTGTAATGAAACAATGCACAAGTCTGGCTCCCATATAGCTGTGGATCTGTCTGGAATATCAGGAAGCAATTTCCCTACAGGCAAATAACAAGGGCAACCCTAATTCAAGTGCATTCTAGCAGATCTTTCTCTACAAATAAAAGGCCAATGCTATTTATAAATCAAGAGTCTTGGACTATTACACGTTGTCTAAGAATCCTAATACTAAAAGAGACTCAAGGAACACCTTCCCCTAAGCTACCTCAAATGGTGACTATTTATTCAATTCTTAACATCATCAGAGAAAACAGGAGAAATTAACTAATATAATAGAGGGACTATTAATGAGACTGACTAAATACTTTTCAAGTACATATGAAAAATTTTTAAACTGATAAAGTCATAAGATACAAAGATATGGCCAACAAATACCAAAAGGCCAAAGTTTGAGAAATCATACTTTCAGATGATAATATAGAAATATTTAGTAATACAGATAACTAAATGACACTCAACTAGATAAGAACATTTAAAATAGTTGCTTAAAAATCAGAGCTTCAGAATCCAAAATATATTTAAACAATAAAAGCGCAATTGTTTTTGGCCCTTACAATCTTAACTATATTTAAACAACATTACTCTTAGAAATATTCTTTACAACAAATCGTAGTCACTAAAGCACAAGTCACCTTGTTATATTCCCAGGAAAGATAAATTAGTATAAAAGTTTTATTTATAATAACCATTCTTATAATAAATACAGTTATGAAATTATCTTTTAGTCTCCCCTTATTTTAAAAGCACAATATAGATTTGCACAGTGTTTTACATAGACTCAAAAAATGTTTACGGGTGTATGTATGATTTAAAATCTTTTCATGGCCATATTATATTGATCATATGGTTTGGCCTTTTTGACTTCCCCATACACATGAGTTAATAACAAATAAAGTACCATAAATCATACACTCTTTTTTGGTTTTCCTTTATTCTAAATTAAAATATGAAATACATTTATGAGTATCTTTTGCAGTTATATTTTAGTACAATCTATCTTCTAAAGTGCCTGAGTTTTAAGATGAATATTTAAAATGAATTTTAAGATAAATTTTAAGATGAATCTTATGTGTCACACAGTGCCAAATTTGAGATTAGGGACAAAAGGCCACTCAGAAACCAGAATAAAAGCTAAACCAGCAACTGTAGACACTAGAGAAGAGTTGGGGCTCATGAGTTTTCCCCCTTCTAAAGATACTCTGTGTATTATGTTTTCATACTTCAGCTTCTCACTCTCCTGTCTTTCTTCTTTTATGAAAAAATAAGCGTTATTATGAAAGCCAAGCCAAGTATCCAAAGACATCAGAGAAAACTTAAGATATGTGAGTGAGACAGAAACTGCAAATCACCCTTTAATCTCTGTTTCCATCTCTTTCCACAGCAATACCTTTGAGTTTTGACTGGACAAGTTGCTGCTGAGAATTTCCCAGCTTCCCATAAAGCCAGACATGGCCACAGACAATGTTCTGTCCCATAAGACCTGCGTGGAAATGCGTGTGCACAGCATGCGGCCTGCACTCACCCTTCCCCTTGCTGCTGGACACAGACTGCTGGGCAGCCATCTGGGCCATAAGGACCACGGTGACACCCCGGGTGGTAGAGCAATAGGGAAAGGAGTCTGGGTCCCCATGGTGTGAAGCAGAGCTGCCACACCAGTTTGGGACTTTCAGTTGAGAGAGAGAAAATTCTATCTTGTTTAAGCCACTCTTATTTTGGAACTCTGTCACATCGTGTCAAATGGATATGCCTGTTAATAAAGGGAGTCTGAAAGCAAGTGCTTCAGAGAAGTATTGATAATAAACAGAAGACTGTTTTTCTTCAATCTTTTGGTAATGCCTCTATTTAATTCTGTCTCATACTCATTTAGGGTGCTAAATGCAGGCATCCAAAGAAAAAGCCTAGAAGACAATTTCAGTTTATCCAGAAGAGGTGTCTTCTAAAGAAACAAATAGAATTGTTACTTCTTACATCAGTAAAGAATGATATCAAAAAAGCAATGAAAAGTGCCAGACGAATAACATGGGCCTAGTTCAGAGATGGTCCACATGAGTTTAGGAGCTGACTTTCGCATCCCGTCACTATGTGCCTGTGGTGCTGTTTGACAAACAGCAATTTAGGAATAGGGGAAAACCCCCAAAAACAAAACCATAAGTCATAATCTTCTGCAAGTTTTTGGATTTTCTTTTTCTGATTTGTAAAATGAGAGCATTTAGCCTAGTAATTATCAAATCTTCTTTTTTTAAAAGATGTGAAACCTTTCAAAAGCCCAATATGTAAAAGGGGATAAAGGTGATCTGGCTGAAATGGCAATAATGACAATAGTTTAGTAGCCAAACACCAGCATGGCTAAGATGCCCACACCAACCTTCAAGGCTTACCTAAAATGATATGATTGTCAATGCTGTGCTATTTGCTTTTAAAACTGCTTCTAAGCATCCATTAAAATTCTCAGACTTCTAAGCATTTCATGTGGAAGAAAGCTTTAAAAAAAAGTAGATGCTAAAATCCCTTTGTTTCTATAGCTTAAACCAGTCAACAGTTTTAAAAGTAGAAAATCATAACAATTTGACCATTCTGCAGACTTTGATTGTGGATAAAAAGAATAAAAAGTGTCAGTGTAATATATTTTGTAAGGAAGTTTCTAAAAAATTATAAAAGGCAGTTTGATGTATGAGAACAGATCTTTGCACCAGTTCTCGCGTGGTCTTGGGATTGAAGGTGGCTGCATCTCAGTAATAATGTGGCAATGCTTAAGGCACGTGTACTGAAAAGACAACACCTGCAAAAACTGAGCCATTTAATTCATCCTCTAACCACACAAAATGTTTTAGACTAGTGATGACCACTAAGGCACAGTGACTAATGTCCTCAATCTTTCCCTTGTATTCAGATATGATATCTTGAGAGGGAGAGGCAGGGGTAGGCATTACAGCCAACAGGAAAGACATGGGCATGGGCAGTAAAAACCATCACAATTTATCTTGTTGGTTGTGACAGAAAAAAATTTGAGAAGGGTTTTTCTAGATAACATAACAGACATTCCTATGTGCTTTTTTTCCATACAGTTTTGCCTTCTTTTGTTCCTGTATTCTCTTTGTAAGCTTTCAAAAGAAGTTGGTGCCTCATTCAGACCGAAGTAAAACAATGAAGCCCAAGGACTAAACTGCTGACCTCATTGCTAAAAATCTTAGGTGAAAGGGAAGTGACTGGCAGCTCTGAGACATTTTCAACCCATGGAATGTTTGGACTATGTCCTGGGGCCACAAAGGACTTGGAGTCCACCCTTTTCAATCAGATCCCACTGACCAGCACTGAGAAGCATCCAGGATGGGTCCTCAGCGCCCCGTCCAGTGCTGCTTCTTGGAGAGCTGTGCCATCTCAGTCTGCAAGGAGTGGGCACTGTGTGGGGGTGTCTAGGTCTCCCTGCCCCGCACAGCGCCAGGCTCTCAGAAGCCAAGTTAGGGCTCTGGCAGGGAACACAAACTCTACCCATGTGGTGTTCTGTGGCTAAAAACTATGCTTCTTAAAAGTTTTTCTTTGAAAATAATATTGGTGGAATATTATATTAAAAAGCTAGATATAGAATTTAACATATAATGTGATTTCAACTATGTAAAAATGTGCCAGGGAGGGCCGGCCCGGTGGCGCACTGGATAGTGCGCCGCTTGGGAAGCGCGGCGGCGCTCCCGCCCGAGGGTTCGGATCCCACATACAGACCGGTTCCCGCTCACTGGCTGAGCGAGGCGCGGGAGCAACACCGAGGGTTGCGATCCCGTTGCCGGTCCCCGGTCCGGTACGGGGGCAACACTGAGGGTTGTGATCCATTGCCGGACACGGAAAAAGACAAAAAGACAAAAAAAAAAAAAAAAATGTGCCAGGGAAAATAAGGAAAAAATATATTATAGAAAAATAGCAACCAAATTTTTCTTCTATCTGATAAAAATAAGACCACTCATTATCTTCTTTTTTACAATTTTCTGCATTTCCTAAGTTTTCTACAAGAGTATATATTAGAGAAATGTATTGTTCCCTATAATAAAAAGAGATGAGGAAAGATGTTTGCTTATGACAGAAATAACTAGACTCCTATCTAGTCTACTTCTTAACATCAAATGCAATAAAACAAAACTATATATCCAGTTTGTTTACTCTAAGCTAATTCTTTTAGATTATGATTTTCTTTGAGAGGAAACCCCTTCTACCTGAGAGAGTACACGTCTCATTAGGGGTATTTTAGCCAATCATATTGTTCTATGTATATGTGGTATGACTTTAAAAGTAATGACAATGAACTTTAAAAACAAACAAAATAACTGGGTCTTGACCTTAAAGATGACTGTAATTAGTGCAACATAAATTGGTATTTCACTTAAGAAAACCATTCACTCTTCTACCGGTATTGCCATTTCTGAAAATATTTTTGGACTTCTTTGTGGAACTGCTCAGGAAAATCATTCTGTTACTTCAATCACTCCCAATTTTTGACCAAAAGCGGTTTTACCAGTTTGACACATCATTTACCTGACTTGACTTCAACTGGCTTATCCTAAAAAAAATAAATAAATAAAATAAAACCTCAAAGGATAAAGATTCCTGACCACTGAGAATACCTGGGGGAAAAAGGAGCCATAGACTTTGAAAACAATTCTGAAACACAAGTTTTCCAACCATATTTTGGGCAATAATATGATTCTTGCGATACCTGACTGACCCTTCCCCAACAAGATGACTCCTCTGAGGAGGCCAATGTTTTTGCAGGGGTGGGAAAGGGATCACTAAGAAAAGCCCAGATAAACACAAGAATTAGGCTGATTTCATGTTTTAGCAAAACCAAACAAAAACCTATTAGAAACCAAATATTTTCAAGTGCAACAGAGAAATGAAAAGTCATCAGTAGTAGCTTTGGTCCTTTGGTGTGGCCAGCAGGAGCAGAACCCCAGGCTTGAGACCCCGAGAACTTCTTCCCATAGACAGTGTTTATAAAAGATAAGACTACACCACCTCTTTTTTCCATTTGCCCGGTCATCATTTGTCAGCACTAGTTTCACATTAGAATTGCCTGGTGAACTTTAAAAAAATACCAGTTGACTGGCAACCACTGGACAATGGAATCTGAATCTCAGAGGGTAGAGCCTACGTATATATACGTGTGGGGTGGGGGTGGGGGTGTACTGTTTATTCTCTTCCTTCACCTTCCTTCCAGTCCCCAGGTGACTTGCACGCATGAAGTACAGTAGGAGTGAGAATCAAGGGCAAATCCGGATCGAGATCAGGCCCCTGTCCACAGAGCACATCTCAGCTAGCTGCTCAAGTGAGCTCCTAAAGAACTCACTCCATTTATCACCTCACACTACGATTCATACAAAAAAAAATTAGGGAATACTGCTTGGTCCATACATACCATCTCAGAAAATAATATAAAAAGTGAGGGACAAGAAGCATAAGTTTCTAGTTGACTAACCCCATCTAAATTAAAAACATACTTATAAAGGCACAGAGAAATGAAACCATGTCAGGACCTAGTCATGGGAGGTGATTCTATTTTCTTCTTTTGGCATATCTGTAGACTCTAAATTTTCCACAATGAATACAGATCACATTTGTGATACCTACTCTGGTGCTGGCCTGTTGACCTAAGAGGTTAAAAAGCACATACCGGTAGTATCTTGGGCTGTCACATCCACACCATGCGTGACCATGACCCTGAGGCATTCCACATGTCCTTTTGCAGCAGCAAGATGAAAACTAGAAAGAGAGGTAAACACAATCTCCTTAAGATTTCCATTCTTTACACTTCATCTCCAAAAAAGTTTTTTTGCCTCTTCGTGTACACTTTCTATCACTTGAGGTCCACAACCACCCACTGAGCAAGTATTATCAGCAACCTCATTTTAAAGAAGAGGAAACAGAGGCTCAGCATAGTCAGATAATTGGCTCATTGACATCTCTTACTAAGTGACTGATCTTAGGTCTTCCAACCCAAAGATCAGGCTTTAAAAAAAGTAAGATTCAACCACATATCTTTCTCTTTATGAAACAACAGTCAGAGAGTCCCAACTAGATTCAATTCCTAAATAATAAGTCTTTATCAACATTTTTCTGTTGTTTAGTGCTTTCACCAAAACCGTCATTTTTAAATAATATACACTATAAAGAGAAACCTGCCTATGTCAAACAGTGGTCAAGGTTTCGGACAACACCAATGCCAAAGCAGCCATTGTGTTGTAGCAGAATAACAGCAGTTGCATGCAACATTTGTTAAGTGTCTGATGTGTGTCGAGCATCTTACTGTACACTTTTATACATTATCTCTTCTCATTCCCATAACAGCCTTGTAAGGTGAGTCTTATTACTATCACCATTAGATGGCAGGTGTCTACCCCCAGGTTCAAACAGCGTCAGAGAAAGCCCACAATTAGGCTCCAGAACTCAGTGACACTTGGGAGTAAAACTATGCTCCGCATCTTTAAGCTAGCCATTACAGGAAATGATAACATCCAAATGCCACACCAATCATCCCTGCAAGTCTCAGAGTGAAGGGCACATCTGCAGGCAGGAAGAAGCAAAGCACTTTTCCACTGGGCAGTCTGGCCCAGAGACTGAGGTGGCCACAGACGTCGGGAAGGACTCCAGCATGGAGGTCTTTCCTCCTCTCCGTCTCCTTCCCGTAGAGGGAGGCTAATGAGCCTTCCCGTTCTCTTCCATCCTCAGATCTGTTTTAGGGAGCTGCTGTCAGGTATTCCCATGCAGCACTTCAGTGTCTGTATCTCTGAATTAATGCCTACATGGTATTATCTCACAGGCTAGGATCTGTCACTGGACCCCAGGGTCACACCCAACTGACAAATCAAAGGGCTAATATTCGCACCCAAATTGGTCTGACTCCAGACTTCTGCTCTTAATAACTGAATGAAGGGGGCAGATCACCAAATGGGAATATTTCAGTTCTGGTTGCAAACCAGTCAATTATCTGCATATTTGGGGGGAAGTCAGTTCAACTTCTGTGCTTACATGTCCTCCCATGTAAAGTGTGAGGACTGAGTTAACTGATTTCTAAAGTTTCCTCCAGCTCTAATACTCTATTATTTTAGCCTACCTGGCTCTGATCACACCAACTATTTCTGTATTTGTGCAGCAATCTACATGTAATGTTTCTTTACAGTCAAAATTCACCTTATAGATGATTTCACATTACAGTAAAAACTTGATTACATGGAATGATTTGGGAATGTTTAAATGAAATTCCTGATTAAATACAGCTTAACCAAAAGAACCTCCCTAAAAGGCACTACTATAATACCTCTTGTTTTTCAGCATTATTGGGGTATTTTTATTTTATAAAAATAAAAATTTTTACAAATTACTTTATAAAAATTTATATTTTTTCTACTCCAGGGCTTCTCGGATTACCTCTGAGTTGCATATTATATTTAAGAGTGGTTAAAATTACAGACATGTTTGACAGTGAAGCACTGCTGTGGGCCACTACTGTACACTGGTGGATGTAGTCTGACGAACATGATGTTCTATGATTAATTTGGGATATATTACGGATGATTTGGGAATTGATTTGGGGTCTCAGGATCATTATTTGAAAGGTCAATGATCATTACAAAGCAGAAGTGAAGTTTTAGGAAGTTGGACTCTTTTTCCAATCTCACAATAGAAATTTTCTTAGACATTAATTTTTAAAAGGAAACCTCTGATATCAACCTAAATTGACATCTTTGATGGCTTTAAAACATTTTATTGAGGAATCCAGTTAAGCAAGGTTTCATTGCATATACTTTAATAAACTGTGTGTGTATGTGTGATTTTGTTTTGTCCTGCCTGTCCCATTAGAGTTTAGATAAGGAAGTGACTTTTTCCTCTATTCTGAGAACTTTTCAGCTATTCCCTTTAACATACTTGTGTCCTGCTGAGAAAACAGAATGACAGTCTTTTCTCAAGTCCTAATTTTCTTTTTCTTTTCTTTTTTTTTTTGTCTTTTTTCGTGTCCGGCAATGGATCGCAACCCTCAGTGTCGCGCCCGTACTGGACCGGGACCGGCAACGGGATCGCAACCCTCGGTGCTGCGCCCGCACCTCGCTCAGCCAGTGAGCAGGAACCGGTCTGTATGTGGGATCTGAACCCTCGGCGGGAGCGCCGCTGCACTCCCAAGCGGCGCACTGTAGCAGTGTGCCACCGGGCCGGCCCCCTAATTTTCTAATATATATTATACCTAAAGCTTCAGCACTTACTGATCTTACAGATAAATGAACAAAGTACAAATATATATTATCAGAAACAGCTCATTATTCGAGGGTACTTCAAAAAAATTCATGAAAAATAGAATTAAAAGATAATACGAATATTTCCATCAACTTTTTGAAGTACGCTTGTATAAGGACAGATATTCATGCTTGTGATTTGACAATGCACACATCTAATATCATCATATTTCTAGCTAGTAAGAACATTCTTAGTTCATGTGATTCAGTTAAACATGTCATTATTTCAAGGTGTACCTCCAAGAAGACTCTAATTTCCAGGTGTTTGTTGTGTGCTGACATCACAAAAAAGCTGCTGCTCTACTTGCTAAGACACACGGGCATGGGAGAAGTACAAAAAGCAGGAAAAAGAAAAGTTGATCATTTTAGCCAGAAGTTTCTGATTCATTTTTCCAGAAAGACAGGGAGCTCCACTGTGTATCATCGTTTCTCTCACTGAGTATGCATTTCTGGGAAATGGGAGCAAAGAAGCCAAGAAACACAGTAGATGAGTCTGCTCTTGGGGGATAGTCACTAATGCTGTGTCTTCTCTTCATCCCTCCAAATGTGACCTCTGCCTTGGTCCCCTGAGTACGTGGACCAGGAGACAGTCATCCAATGGACTGTACTCAATGGGCTGCCTTGACCTTTGGCTCTGGTTGGGTTTGTACAATGGGAGGCACTTATAAAAGACAGTGAGTAGGATGAGAGGAAAGAGTTCAGGGCATCACCCCCCACACACACTCCCTCCCTGCCAGGCCCCCATTGACAGTAGCTGCCTTCCTCTATGAAGGCCACAGCTCTGTGGCTGGTCTCCCAAAGTTATGGCTGCAGCCCTCTCTGGGTTTTGGTAACTGTTCTCCCTCCTTGCCCATTCAGGTTGAGGGTAGAAATAGATTCCCACAGTTGCTAGTCCAAGGCTGCAATCCCAACCTTGCTGGTGTCCCTTAACTTAGCCACACATGCGTAAATAGTTCCTTTCTTAAACTCTCATCGATTATCCCATTTGAGGGTGCTACCTGTTTCCTGCTTGTGCCCTGCACGACACCAGGGTCAGGTATTTTGTGTGTGATCATCCAAAGGATAAATGCTGGATTCCAGTGGGTATTATTTGATTAAATATTTGTAAGGGCAAATTCAGGCTTAAAAAAAAAAAAAAACCCACAAAACTGTTTTGATTGCCACATATAATTAGTTTGCTTATTTATTTGGAAAAAATAAAATTATAATAACTTAAACATTAAAAAAAAGATATTGGGGTATTTTAGCTAAAATGCTTTGATGGGCAAATATTCCATGTAACTCTAATTATATGGAATATGATAAGTGACTTCAACAAAGTTTTTGGATATGGTTTTAGAGATCAGTTTAAAGGGTTCAAGAATATACCTCTCTAAGGATAAGAAAAACAACTAACTTAAATGAGAGCCAGTGTGCAGTCTAGAATCCCTATTATGAAATAAAAAAAATGCTAAAACTCAGATTTTATACTGCAGATTTGGTTTTAAAAGAATAACCAACACCCCATCCACAACACACATGGGCATACACACACGTGATGCATAAACAATTACTACAGCAAAAACAAACTCAAAAAACAAATTAGCAAAAACCAAACTCACATACATCTTACCAACCCAGCTGTCCCTGTAATTTGTAAAACATAATCAGGAGTCTTCAGGAAATAGAAAATTTTACCAGCTCCTGGACTCTTCTATCGTGCTGAAGTTTCATCTCTTCTGCTTCATACAGAGTCCAATAGAGTTACTTTATCAGAATCACAGATAAATTACTCATTAAGTACAAGCTACAACTGTGGTCTAAAACTGGGAAACTATAACATCTATGGACATATCCTGTGGAATAAGAAGTATTCTTCAGTAATGAATAAGAAGTAAAAAAAAAGATTTGCCAACATCTTCTCTACTATATATGTTGTATATACACTACTCTATAATATATTCTACTATTGAAAATCTGTAGGCTAGATTTAGAAAAAGAAAATACAAAATAAAGAATAACTATCAAGACACAGTTCTTTTGATATTTTTGATGACTCTGATTAAACTCTTTAAAATATCTGCAACATTGTGAAAATATATATTTTGTCTTCTTCCTGTCTCCTGACATACAACTCCTAAAATCCTTAGAATCTCCAAAGTGATGAGAGTCTTTTTGTATGCTAATGACGGCTGACAGCCGATAGGTAGCTTTAGGATGGAGGCTGCTGACAGAAAAGACCAAGGCAGGACTTTCAGTCCCACTCCCCAATCTCCTGGTAGGAGAGAGGGGCTAAAGGTCAAGCTGATCACCAGAAGCCTCCATAAAAACTCAGGAGCACTGTGTTCGGGGAGCTTCTGGATAGCTGAGCAGGTTCCTGGAGAGTGGCACTTCTGGAGAGAGCATGGAAGCTCTGTGTCCCTTCCCCCATATCTCGCCCTATGTATCTCTTCATCTCTATCCTTTGTAATATCCTTTATAATAAACCAGTAAACA